ATAGTGTAGCGAAAACCAGCTCCTTCATTAGTCATATGTGCAGGCCCGTGCTGCTGCCCAAATACAGATTCACCATATACAAATTATGTATTAGACCTCTATTTACTTACTGCTAAATAATGTTTACCAACTCCAGAAAAAGTGACCGAGTAGCAATTGAGGAAGTACACCGCTCATTCACGAAGCGCCTGGTTTGCCCTTCCACACTTAACTATCGCGAACGCGCTAAACTCCTTGGCCTTGAACCTCTGTGGCTACGTAGAATGAGACTAGACATCACCTTCCTATTCCAGACGATAACCAACACAAACAAGAATCTCGCAGGGCGCATTCAATAAAATGGTGACTCACGGTATCCACCCCGCCAGAGACCCTTATCTATTGCCCTACCTACAGCTCGCATCAACGTGCCTAACTACCACGTTCTCTACAGATTGGCTCCCGGCTCAACAGGCTACCATGACAACTTAGGGCAGCTGAGAATACTGCGCCTTTCTAATCCTTCCTACGTAGACACCTTCTTACCATGCCTGCATGCGAACTCTTTAACACTAATATACTGGAGGATTAACTATGGGAAGCTGGCTCCGAGCACCAATAGATCCGAACAATTAACCTCTAGGACACAGCTTTCACCCATTAACTCGCGTTCACCACAGCTATAACTGCCTCTTCTTCCGACCAGGCACTGACAGCATCTAGCCCATCAACACAAGTATCTGCGAGCTCAACGCCACTATCCTCATCTTATTTCGCCACCTCTAGTATATGCACTAGCTGATTGCAGGGCTGTTTTCACAGCATTTGCGACTCTAATCCCCTTCTCCCTTGGTTCCTCCCCGTAACTATCACTACTATGTAGTTTATATCCTCTTCTCACGAGCACGTACAGTTCCTACTTCGCAATTTATCCGGCTCCTGTCCTCACTCTTCTTTGCTGACCATTAGAAACTCCATAAACGGTTGAAGTTCACGTTAATTGGAGCACCTAGTACATTTCGGCGGTGTTCTCAATCATAATGTGCAGCCCTGGTCCATTCCGAAGCTGGCACTGTAAACTACTTTTCAATACGGCTGTGACGTACTCATCTACCGTTTCAAGCGCCGCTCTGATTGTCCTACGATACAATTCCCGCTTCGGTTACTACCCGATGTCCTTCACCGTGACCCCAGCTAACTGACTGATCGGCAATCCATGGTTCACTATCCCACAAAAACAGTAGCCACTGTAACGTAATTAACCAGGCTAGTATCACCACTGTTTTCTGCGTATAATTTGGCCTACTGGTGTTAACGTAGAATTTCACTTCCGCGAGATTCACTTAATCGATTTATGCGCCGCAGCGCCACGCTATCTTTCTATTGCTGCTGTATCGTATTGCTTGTTCTACAACCAAACCCCACCCTTTGTTCTACAACCCAGGTCAGGCTTCAGCTACGGCCAGTTACCCGGCACTATGAAGCAACTCTACTTATTTAACTGCTCGGAGTGCATATTTCATTATTCTTCCAACAATGAGCGTTCTCTGCCATATAGAAAATCAGGCACCTACAAGCACTGTTCTTTGCTTCAAGTTGGCTTACGTTTGACACCGTAGAACTACAACTGAGTGGTTTACTTAATCTATTATTACACCAATGCCGCATCAAATACCATAATTGTTGCCTCATAGGATTGCATCTTCCGCAAATAAATGCTGTCAGCAGCAACCGCCTATCTCATTTTATCCCTTCTCCACTTAACTAAATGCTCGGCTCCATCGCAAGGAGGTTGGATCCTACCTTGGTGCGATGGTTTGCGTGCCTCAGTGATCCAATGAGCCGTACTGGGTGGAGCATATTTTGCACCTTCAGAGTCACTCATGCCAGAATGGTCAATGGTTAGAGGCCAGACAAACTCAGCCTCCTGGTCCTCCAGGTTGGGGGTTGGAATGTGGGTGGCTCCTTTTTCCTTAAAACTGACTCCTTGTAGCCCAATGCCAAACCTGCTGCCTGGCGGTCAGGTTATCAACCAAAGGTTTTGGTTGAGAACCCTAATCTTTCTCCTGTATAGGCCTGGGAAACCTGACATTATGCTGCCCACTCAATACAATGAAGCACACCTCAAACAAATTTCTGATGCTCTGGTCACCGCAGGGGATATTCAACGGTGCCCTATCTGTTGCATTGAGCAGTGTGGATAGGGGTTTGGATGCTACTGTTCAAGCCTTCCCGTCTTCTTATTTCCTCTCGTGCGCTTCTTCACCCGTTCCAGCTTCACTTTTATCCCCCTTGTTTTCAAGCCCCAAATTCTCGGCTTTCCCCCACCTTGCTTCACATGTGAATGCGGAGCGTCATTCCTACACTGTCAACAAGCCCATGTCCAAGCAAGCGGTCAAGTCCAGTTCATCGGCTTCCATTTGGAGCCCTCGATCCTCCTTCCGATTAGCATGCCTCCATGTTCGCACATTGCTTCAGGTCGGTCAACAGGCAGCACTCGCTCGAACAATAGAGACCCTATCGATGGATATATGCTGCTTATCGGGGACCAGCCTGCAAGACACCAGCTCTGTACTCACGCTGCGATCCCCTTCGGGTGGCGCTAACAGCACTTGTAGCAACCCAAAAGATATTTCTTGTTTTGTGTACACTTTTATTACTCATTCATAGAATATTGCTTTTTGTTTTAATGCCGACTCTACGGCCATTATGAACTGCATCCGGCTCACCACTTTTCTCCACGGTGAGTTCCGGCACTGACGTACGCTCTCGTCGCTTCATACGCTTTTCGTTCGATTGTAGCCTTCCGCGAATACAATCCGTTGTGTCCGTCTTTCTGCTTTTCTGGCATCCCTACCAGAGCGAGAACA